AGCTCTTCATGGACTTGTGTTCGTGCCATGTCTCAATCAAGCTTTCTTTACGTGGGACAGTAGTGAAACTCTAGCATCACAGAAGGGTCGGAGTGCCCAGCAATGCCCAATAGAACTTGTAAGATTGTGAAGTTCGGAGGTTTCGGCAATGCCCGCACCCTCGCATTTCTGTATAGATATTGTTTCAACAGATTGAATCTTTTATTTGCTCAATTCCCGAACCTTGATCGTACAAAGGCGAGGGATCAGATACTGCCGCGTCGCAACATGTCGATTTACGTGGAAGTTGGGTTGATCAGCGGCAGGAAAGCCACTGTGCAAGCAGCCTTGGATGAGACGGTGGGGGCATTGAAACGACGGGCACAGGTTGCCCTCGGGGTCGGGACAGGGCGGCTCCTGGACTCATCTGGATGTGTCGTGGAAGGAACTGTGCCGATGAAGAAAGCCAGGGTGCAGAATGGTGACTCCCTGACCTTGTTGCGCAACACGGTTCAAATTCAAGCCACTGCTGGCGCGTTTGCCGCCATTCTGGAAGATGGTTCCGTTGCGACCTGGGGCAATGCTGAGTATGGTGCTGACAGCAGCGCTGTTCAGACTCAGCTGAAGAATGTGCAGCAGATCCAAGCCTCTTCCGGTGCTTTTGCTGCCATTCTTGACGATGGATCCGTTGTGACCTGGGGTTCTGCTCGTTATGGTGCCGACAGCGGCGCTGTGCAGACGCAGCTCAAGACTGTGCAGCAGATTCAAAGCACTCGTCGCGGCGCTTTCGCTGCCATTCTTGAGGATGGATCTGTCGTGACTTGGGGTGGGGCTGGTTTCGGTGGCGACAGCAGCGCTGTGAAGACTCAACTCAAGAATGTGCAGCATATTCAATCCTCTCGTTCTACTTTTGCTGCCATTCTTGGCGATGGATCTGTCGTGACACGGGGTCGTATCCTGAGCAGTGCTGTGCAGGCTCAGCTGAAGAATGTGCAGCAGATCCACGCCTCTGAGAGCGCTTTTGCAGCCATTCGTGGCGATGGATCAGTCGTGACCTGGGGTGTTGGTGTCCGTGGCGGTGACAGTCGTGCTGTGCAGAGGCGGCTGAAGAATGTGCAGCAGATCCAAGCCTCTTTGCGCGCATTTGCTGCCATTCTTGACGATGGATCTGTGGTGACCTGGGGTGATGCTGAGTGCGGTGGCGACAGCAGCGCCGTGCAGACTCAGCTGAAGAATGTGCAGCAGATTCAAGCCGCTGTTTCTGCCTTTGCTGCTATTCTTGATAATGGATCCGTAGTCACCTGGGGTAGTGCTGGTTTCGGTGGCGACAGCAGCGCTGTGCAGACTCAGCTGAAGAATGTGCAGCAGATCCAAGCCGCTGAGGGCGCTTTTGCTGCCATTCTTGACGATGGATCCGTCGTCACCTGGGGTCATGCTGGTTTCGGTGGTGACAGCAGCACTGTGCAGACTCAGCTGAAGAATGTGCAGCAGATCCAAGCCTCTCAGGGCGCTTTTGCTGCCATTCTTGACGATGGATCCGTCGTCACCTGGGGTAATGCTGAGTATGGTGGTGACAGCAGCACTGTGCAAACTCAGCTGAAGAATGTGCAGCAGATTCAAGCCTCGGGTTCTGCGTTTGCTGCCATTCTTGACGATGGATCCGTCGTGACCTGGGGCAATGCTGAGTATGGTGGTGACAGTACTTCTGTACCAGACAAGCTCAGGCATAGATAGCAACTTCTCTTTCAGTGCTCAGAATATCTACAAGCAAATGAAAAACCCGGCCTCGAGGCGCTGATGAGGCTTTGGCATCAAGGCCTCAAGAGTCTGACTTCTGCCCGATCCGAAGGCTCTAAATTCCAAAGACCCTGAACCCGAATGTGCCCTTCTTGTGCAAGCCATCGGAAGCTTTGCTGCAGGACGCGGTGTCTCCTCGCAGCAACCGTGACTCCCTCTTGGCGATCCCGAAGGAAGCAACAGTCTCTTTCATTGAGGATGATGATGATCATGATGACGACGGTAGTAATGGTCATGTCGACAAGTAATTGTCAACATCAGCGCCGCCCGTTGTTGTAAATGTTGTGGCAAGTGTTACTGATATTGTTAGTGTTAGTCCGTTAGTCTTCTGCTTCTTCTTGCTGTTGCTGGTCCTGGTCCTGGTGGTGCTGGCGCTGGTGCTGGTGCAACGGTCGTGGTTGTTGTTGTTGTTGTCATTGCTGGATCTTTGCTGGTGATGCTTTTCTTTACTGTTACGCCACTATGATAGTTTCAACCATACGGTATCGGTGGCAGCACCATCACCATCATATCCGTATCTTATTCTGCCCGGTCCTCGAGTCGATAATGACACCTTCGCCATCCACATGGCTCTTGTGATGAGACTGATCGTAGCCGTCCTTGAAATGCCCCAGGTGAATCTTCGGTTCGCTGTTGCTTTCGGTAGAGTGTGCACGAGCGTGAGGATTCCTGTCGAACGCAGTGCCTCTTCGCCTCCAGGAAGACATGCCCCCATTCAGCACGCCGCAGCGACAGAAGGCACAGCAGCTGCGTATGTGATTTGTTTTGGGTTCCTTTGCAGGGTTGGCTTAATTTACAGTTTTCGGGCTTAGGGTGGAGAGTGGGGTTTTAGGGTTTTGGGGCTTTGGGTGTGGGTGGTTTCTACGGGGTGGCAGGGTTCAGGGATTGTGACACTGGGCGTTTTTTTTTTGCTGTTGCTCGTTTTTGCTTTTCGGGGATAAGCGACTTCATACCTAGCATGGAGTTAAGGGTTTAGGAACCGCTTGGGGTAGCGGCAGATGTGGTCGGCACCATATCCATCTTTACCCTGCATGGCAGCCTATGCTGGATGGTGGGCCTTTGTCGCGTTCGAATGAAATGTTTCTTTGCCGAGGGTCAAACTTGCCCTGAACCCCAAACCTCAACCCTACATAAGCCCTATCTACTAAGCACAAATGGATAGAAATGGTGAGACTCAGCCCGCCTGACATCATGCGCCGCTAGGCTCCCTGCAGCCCTCCTTCATCAGTGGTACAGACGCCTTGTCCAGGCAGGGTCATAGGGGTGTAGGGTTGAGGGCCATGGCGTCCGTATCGTTTTTGTGAAGCGGGTGGAAGGGGAGTACAGGCTCAGCATTTAGGGACATGGGTGCAGCTTCGTTCTTCCAGTTTCGTCAGCACTAACGAATGGAAAAAGTCTTGCACCCTCCAGAACAAATGAGGAATCCACAAGAAGTCCTACAGTCTCGACATATTCTTTCGTAATGCACGGTTCTGTCCAACAGCACTATGGCAGAACATTCCACGCTTCCCTGGCTTCCATACTTTAACCATTTGCAATTCTCCTGACCCCTGCATGTGGATCTTGTCCCGGAGCTGTGTTGGAGTCCATGTTGTATGCCGAGGTGTTCTCCAGCTTCCTTCCATCAGCCCAAGGGATTCTGGCAGGGTTTGGGAATGCCTATAACTCCGTAACATCAAAGCTTGAATAATTGCAGTACCTTGATTACATCGAAAGCTTCTACTCTGAGTAGAAGGCCTATAGTTTTCCGACGGCGTGGCCCGAAGTTGGCTAGTACAGTAGGCTTATTCGACCCCAAGCACTAAACCCCTAAACCCCTAAACCCTAACCCCCAAACCCTGAAGCCCTCATGTATTTGAGTCTTGGGGCTGCCAGGGCCTTGGGTAATGGATACGCCGTCGCCACAGAACTGCGCCTCTCTGGCGAACTATGCAGTCTGCCCAGCTCCGTGGGATGTTTTCAGGGTTGGGCGTAGGTCTTGGGGATCCGGCTGTAGTATAGTGGTCAGCTTCTGTGTGGTCGGCGGCTTGAAGAAGAGGGAAGTATCTGGGGCATGGGGAGCTTCAGGGCTTGTGGGTTCCTGGTGTAGGCTTCCAACCCGACGGTCCGAACCCATCATCCGAAGTCCTAAACCCGAGAACCAGCAACCCAATGCCCTATGCCGTCCCAGGATCCAAAGTCACAACCCCAGACCAGTGCAACCGGATGCCTGAGCTTTCGAAGTCCGGGTTACAAAGACCCACCACCAATGCAGCTACTATCGTGTTATCGATTACCATCGGATATTTGGTTGACGGCTGTCCATACCGCTACTACCCACCGGCAAGGCTGGTGCTGACACTGCTACTTGCTACTGCAAATGCCATCAATCAATTAGCCTGCTCCTATTAACGATGGTAGGAACGATAACTATGGTGCAGCTGCTGCTTGTTCCTATCGTTCTGTTTTTCAGTACTTAGCCCCAGCTGCATCCGCAACATGGAATCGCGTAATCATATGGGCTTTTCCACGCCGCATCCTAGCTCCGTTCGTTCGGTCTGTTGCTACACTATTGTAGGGGTTCCGTATTTTAGTTATAGTATAATGAGCCCCAAAAGCCCATTCTAATTGTTAAGGCCCCTATATTAAACCCTAAGCCCCAAAGCCCAAAGCCGAAACGAAATCTCTTGATTCTGCGGCCGCGCGTCATTTGCAGCTGATCAAGACCTGGTGCCCCGGGTCCCCTGAAGACGAAGCACCGCTTGGTGAGCGGCTTGGACTAAAACCATAATCTACACTACAATAATCTACTATACTATACTCTTCTCTGCTCTACTCTACAATACTGCTAGAACCATAAATCTACATTACAAGAATCTACTATGCTATACTCTTCTCTGCTCTACTTACTCTACAATACTACTAAAACCATAGATCTACATTACAATAATCTGCTATGCTGTACTGTTCTCTGCTCTACTCTACAGTACTACTAAAGCCATAATTTACATTACAAGAATCTACTATGCTAGACTCTTCTCTGCTCTACTGCAAAAAATGTTGGAATATCCCGGCACCCTTCCCAGGTGGGGGGCTTCGGCTGTTATGTTGGCCTGTGTTTATGGTTGCTTACCATGCGTAGTGTTTGTGGTGTTGTGTGCAGGAATTCACAGAACTGTCGTCGAATTTCCGCGTGGGTCTAGAAGGCTTAGAGGTTTTGGCTCTGGCGCGTCGTGGCTGTCTAGACTCTCTGAATTCTGCTTCCGCAGGAGCAAACAAGGATCCCAAGACATGTCCCTGCTACTACTAGGTTGATGATATAAATCCTGCATTACCTTATGACCCTAGACTATGGGAGTTCCATATTCGCTATTATGGGAAATGCAGGATTTAGATCATCAGCCGTATTACGGGATATGATGCCTTTCCAATGCCCGAAATCCGGCTGAGAATCTGGTGATCGACACTCCTGAACCCTTACACCATGAAGCTCCTGAAGGGTTTGACATGAGTTAATGTAGGGCCCCCTTAATTAATAATTAGAATAGGCTTCCTTTACCGGGCTTGTAAGGGATCTGTAAGAGGCGTCTATGATACAGGGGCCCCAATAATTAGAATAGGGTTTTGCGGGGGCCCCTTCTTATTATGAAGGCCCCTACATTGGGGTCGGCAAGCCTGGAGGAAAGGCATCAGAGATCTTAGCTGAAGGTTGAAGTTTTAGTCGGCGTCCCTGAGTCCTACTATAGAGTTAATATTTACCTAGACTATTTTGGAGGTTCCGTATTAAAATTGTAGTATAATATGCCCAAAGACCCTATTCTTTAAGGCCTCTATATTAGCCTCATCCGACGCGTGGAAAGCAAGCACCACACCGTTTCTGCTGATCTTTACAAGAAAGTCAGGAAGTGTGATATTGCAAGTTCGGTTATGCAGGCCCTAAGTAAACATAGTTATCCGCCCAAACATAGAGGAAAATATGGTGGAATCTCTTTCCACACTCTAAGTTCCCAGGCATAGGACCTTTGCTCCGCTTGAATGTTTTAGGGTTTTGGGTTTGAGGGTTTTAGGGTTTAGGGTGTGGGGTTTCAGGGCTTGCAGGTCGCGAACGGGGGCATACCTGCATGCTACAACAAGCCCCGCAGATGCCGGTGCAGGACTTAACCACTGAGGACTGAGAGAATCAAGGGGTCAATACCCCAACAATGAGCTTTCTGTCGTGGGCTTTCTAGGAGGTATCCGGTATCGATATCTTACCTTGGCGTGGGGCAGTCTGAAACCTTAGCACAGCCACACAAGTGTCAGCGCAAGCCACAGTCCCAAAACCGAAACCCAACTTGACCCTGCACTGTAAGCCCCAACTGCATAGCCGAGAGATGCCGAGAGCTTTCAACCTTCAACCCACTATATATAACTCAGATCCTGTATCACCCTAAACCCCTAAACTCCAAACTCCAAGGAACGGCCTCATAACGATGGCCAGCGCCGCCCTCCAGTCCCTGGTGGAGGCGGCGCCCGCGATGCGGGCGACGCATCTGCGGGAGCTCCTCAAGGATGAGAAGAGGCTACCCTCAGAACTCGCAGGGTTTAGGGTTGTTGTTTGGGGCTTCTTTCGGTTTCGGGTTTAAGGTTTTGTTTTTAGTGAGGTTAGCATCATGGACGATTTTGTGCTTAGGGTCTGTAGGGTATAGGTTGTCTGTCTGTTTGCCTTTTTCCAGGCGTCGGGTTTGGTAAAGGGCTCTCGGCGTGTTAGGACTTCGTGTGGCGTGTGTGCAAGCTAGCATCGTTTGCAGTTATAGGGCGATGAGAAATGAGGAAGGCAGTTTGCGTGCATGTGCAGTGTTTGCTCGCTACCACACTGTCGCAGGTGCGATGCAATGATGGTCGAGGCAGAAGGCATCTGCCTGGACTACTGCAGACAAAAAGTGACCCAGGACTGGGCTGGCGAGACGGGAGCATGTCTGGTGCGGGAAACTCAACTGCTGGTTTTGTCGAGTGCTCCCCTTGCCCACAGTCTTCTAAGCCGACGAGATGCATGTTGTCTTGAATCTTTTTCTGCTTGTCAGAGCCTTCACTAACCGCAACTACTCCCATCGAGTATTGTCGTGCAACAGAAGCCGATTGAAAAATCAGACAACAAGACTACTTCAGATAAATTCCGGTCTGTGTGAGGTGTGTGGCAGAGGTCGAGCCGTAGTAGTAGTAGTAGTAGTCGTCGTCGTCGTCGTCGTAGTCGTAGTCGTAGTCGTAGTCGTAGTAGTAGTAGTAGCAGTAGTAGTAGTAGTAGTAGTAGTAGTAGTAGTAGTAGTAGTAGTTTTAGAGTAGAGTTGTGGTAGTAGTAGTAGTAGTAGTAGCAGTAGTAAACCCTCAATCGCACTTATGACTTATGTAGTATGGCATTCTTCAGCGATAAATACGAGTAGGCACATAGGAAGGAAGACAGAGAAAGAGGGGGGGAGCGAGAGAGAGGGACTGAGAGAGGCACAGAGAGGGAGACAGAGAGACAGAGAGAGAGAGAGAGAGAGAGAGAGAGAGAGAGAGAGACAAAGAGACAAAGAGAGAGAGAGAGAGGGACAAAGAGACAAAGAGACAGAGAGACAGAGAGAGAGGGAGAGAGAGAGAGAGAGAGAGAGAGAATGAGAGAGAGAATGAGAGAGAAAGAGAGAACGAGAGAGAAAGAGAGAAAGCCAGAAAGAAATAGAGAACACACGAGACATTAGATGAGGGGCCGTCGCCAAATTGGGTGCACAAGGATCCCACAGCCAAAGCTATTTCCTCGAAAGGTTCTGGAGAAACTTACATCACATGACTGCGACGCCTGTAGCCAGAAACACCCTTGATCTAATCCCGACGGCCCCAAACCCTAAATCCATTGCAACATTATTTCCCTCTTTTCCCTAAACCCTAAACAGCCTAAGTCCTAAATCCCTTGCAAAGTTATTCCCCTCTTTTCAGTGAGGAGACCATGTCCAAGCTTTTCGACCTGGCGAAGGTGAGTGGGAAGCTAACCGAAGGGAATCACGAGAAAGGGTCGTACAGTGACTACAAGCAAGACCCTGCTGGTCTTTATTTTCGGACGCTAGTACGTTGCAAAGTAGAGTGCATATACATTTAAGAAGGAACAAAACTGTTTTCCAACGCCCTGCAGGGTGTGGGCTTTGGTTTGCAGGGTTGAGCAAATCGGCGTGATAGCCTTCGAGTTTGCCTTCGACTTGTGGCGAAACAGTGTGCTAAGAAGTCGGCGAAGTTTCAAGATAAGGGGCCTATTCTGGGTTTGGGTGGGGAGGTGCGCAGTAAAGTCCCCCCCAAAACTCTCCAAACTCCTGACTGCCAAAAGGTCGCCGACGTGGAGGGTAAAAAGAAGCGCCTCTTTGCAGGGGCAGCCTTTATGCACTTATTCGGTTGTTGTTTTGTTTCAGGGCTTTCGTGTTCCGTATGCGTCTGTGTTTTCAACTTTGAGGTATTTGAGATTTTGGGTGTTATGCTCATGATGCTGCCGCTGCTACTACACCCGGCATGCCAAGGAGAAGATCAACGAAACCGAGGGCCGTGCAGTTCTGCATGTCGCCCTCCGGGCGCCGAAGGAGGACGATTTCATATACAGATCCCGGATGAATAAACCCCTTTCTTGTCCGGCCCTGATGTAAAACTTCCCTCCTGCAAAAGGTCTACTAAGGGAGTGGGTACGTTCCGCGAGACATCGTCCTTTTCGCTGCAGGTGGCTCGTTCAAAGCTGCGCTGGAAGACGAAAAAAGCCCCCTCCCTCATCTGGCCTTCAATCGCTGCAGAAAACCTAGCCTAAACCAGGTAGGCTTTCGAGCCATTCACACTTGCTCTTACTGGGCTTAAGAGGATACCAATTATTTATCAGCTTTTAGTTACCAGTAGGCTTGAAAGGGACAACCCGGGCCGATAAAGCTAGGCAGGAGTATTGTACCTCTCTACACGCAGGAAACCATCAACGTGGATGGCAAGAACGTCGTCCCGGAGGTGCACTCCGTCTTGGACGCGATCAAGGCCCTGTCAATTCTGGTCTTAAGGTTACTATAGGGTAAGATAGGGGCCTAAACAGTCAATTTCCATACTGTTATAGCATAATGGGCCCCAAAACCCTAATTATTCCAATTATTAAGGCCCCTGTGGGGATTTTCGCTTGGTTCTCTAGATCTCCCGAGTCTTCAGTTCTTAGCGTCTCTAAGAGAGCGAGGTTTTGAGTCAAAGATACATCGGATGCGCGCCCCAAACGGCATCTTGTGCCGTGGAAGGCGCAACTAGGATTCCGAACCAAACCCGCTTTTCTTCTATCAGGAGGTCACTCACACAAACATCTGCAAAGCCGTATCCTCCCATCTTACTGGTCATAGCAACAAGACTATAGAAACGGTTGTAATTTGTAATGATCATGATTCACAAAAACAACTAACAACAACAACCAATCACAACAACAACAACAGCAGCAACAACAACAACAACAGCAACAGCAACAGCAGCAACAACAACATTTAACAACAACAACCACCACCACATTTAACAACAACAACAACAACAACAACAACAACAACAACAACAACAACAACAACAACAACAACAACAACAACAACAACAACAACAACAAACAACAAGAACAACAACAACAACCACAACAACTACATATAACAACAACATATAACAACAACAATTAACAACAACATTTAACAACAACATTTAACAACAACATTTAACAACAACAACAACAACAACAACAACAACAACAACAACAACAACAACAACAACAACAACAACAACAACAACAACAACAACAACAAACAACAACAAACAACAACAAACAACAACAAACAACAACAAACAACAACAAACAACAACAAACAACAACAAACAACAACAAACAACAACAAACAACAACACAACAACAACAACAACAACAACAACAACAACAACAACAACAACAACAACAACAACAACAACAACAACAACAACAACAACAACAACAACAACAACAACAACAACAACAACAACAACAACATTTCATTCACACGCAGCGGGGGAGGACTGTCTGTGGTGAAACTTTTCGTCCACGCTTTGCGAGGGATCGACCTAGTGCCCTGCTTACTACTTGCGCGGTCATTCTTCACGGCAAGCCGTGCCTCAACCCAGCACTTGCACACGCTCCGCCCCTCAAGGCTGCAAGCTGTGAAGTGGGAAGGGGATGTGTCTTCAGAGTCTTATGCGAGTTAAGATTTCGGCACTAGCTGAAAGCTAACCGGCTTGGTTGCAATGTATCACTGGCTGATTGGCAGCAGATCATTTTGCACTCAGCTGCTGGGGAGAAACTCCACCAGCTGTACACACATGGCAAGGGGAGAAACTCCTCCGATTGTTGGGGAGAGTCTCCTCCTAAGGGAGCATCTCCGCAAGGCGTCTGGCTCAGGAAGAGGCTGCCATAAGACGATCTTGTCCCTGATGAGTGTTGCCACTGTTCCCATTTTGGTAACAACAACAACAACAGCAGCAGCAACAACAACAACAACAACAACAGCAACAGCAACAGCAACAACAACAACAACACCAGCAGCAACAACAACAACAACAACAGCAACAACAACAGCAACAACAACATTGTAAACTAGTACAATGACAATAGCAATGACTGCCTGAATTTTGTCTCCGAGAGGTGCTTTACGAATGCTTGGAAACGGAACGGGCCCAGCTCACTAAACACACACATCCACATCTTCCAGCAGTTGAGCTTTCACGGGACGGGCAGTACTTGCCGGCAACGACAGAACATTCATATAGAACCCGTTTCGAAGCCCCAAAGCCCTGAAGCTTCCTGAGCCACCACACCAAGCACCTTAATTTATTGAACATGCAGCAAGGATGTCCGAACAGTTGCCGCTCTAATCAGCTAACTGAACGATAAACAGGTCACTAAGTTTGAAAACCCTACACTAGCTCTTCGAATGCCTCCATATTGCCATTAAGCCCACTCCTGATGCTTGTTTTGAAGAAGGCGTTCTCAGATAAAGTCCGTTCTGGAAGCTTCGTTGGCCACACCGGCAAGAAACTGACGGACGTGCTCTGTATTGGCGACCCGGCGACAAGATCAAAGGGATTCAGGGTTGGGCCTGTGGCCCACAGGCTAGGCTTTCCTTTAAGCTTGTCCAGTTGTCCAGCGTGTTTAGGGTCTCGTCGAGCTTGGATGCGTGAGTGGTCCCTGCAGAGCCTTCGGTTTTATGCAGTCGTATCTACGAGGATAGGCTGCCTGGGGGGAAGGTGTGGTCCACGATTCGAACACCACAGCTTCAGGTCTCCCCAAACCGTAAAAGCCCCCAGCAATCGCGCGCTGGGCTCAGGCATTGGTGGATCCTACCTGGGCGTCGAGTTCGTCTACGAAGCGCTGAGCATCTGGACTATCACACAAGCCGTGAGTCGCCTCGTACATGTGCACATAGAACCCTCGAAGACCCGGTACTCTATGCCGTTGTGATATCTCAAGTGCCAGTCTAACAAACTAGAAGTGACCGTGGAGGGTCACCGGGCGTGCTTGCGCAGCGTGCACGATGTTAGGGACTTGCCTCCTTCCTGCCTCTTCACCGAGCCCATCAGCTTAGCCGTGTTCTGAAGCTTGCATATAAGGGTCATGTTGGGTATTTGTTGGCATGAGTATTGATTTTCAACTTTCTGAAGTGGTGCCTATCTAAAGTCTCCATTGCATTACCTATTTCTGTAGGTGTTGGTTTAACGCATGTTTCACGTAAATTTCGGATCCTATAAGATAGCTGCATAGCCCAAAGAAGGACGGAACTACAATGGAGACAAACCCTAAACCCTAAACTTGAAGTCGATGGGTAGGCTAGGAATCAGAGCCCTGCTGCTCTAGAGCTCGCTTTGGCTACTTTTCTTCATACCTTGCCTCAAACTACCTCTTATGTACCACATGCTACTATTGACCTGCTTACTTTGTTCTATGCTACATTGGATACCGTATTATTATTCATATTGTATTCTAGCGCTGTAGCCGGGACCGGCGAAGCCGCACAAGCGCTAAGCCATGAATCCCAAGGCCCAAATGAGATGCAAAGCATCTAGAAAATAGTAAAAGTCTTGTGAGTCAGCTCCACAAAGCCGTAGTCGAACCCGCCGAAGCTTTGAAGCCCCGAGCACCGAGCCCGGAAAGCAGAAAACCCGAACTCCCAAGGTCAAACTCACTGGAGCTTTTGGAGGTACCACTTACGATCTTAGACCGTAGATCCAAGGACCTAGTGCAGTGCAGGAACGAAAACTTTTCTGCCGATGGACATCACTCGCCTGGTGAGTATACCCTGATTCCGATTCCGAAACTGGCCACTGCACCCCAAAATTTTCGAGAGCCCTCAACCCCAGTAGTCGGTCCCCACACACGGGACCCGTATAAAATAGTTCATCCTAATATAGCACCCTAAATAGTAGGATCCTTATTATAAGGACCCAAAACAAGGCACCCCTAATTCTCGGAAACCCCTCTCTGTCAGTAGGACCCCACCCCTCGGAGAACTCAGGGACCGACTCAACGGCCGCAGCCGCGGCAAAGGGCCGATCTTTGCGGCGTCCTGGGTTGCAGAGTGAGGAAGAATGGTTTAGAGGCCTACATAATTCCCTATACTAGTTTAGGGGTTCCCTATTGTAATCATAAGTACATCGGCCCCCAACACACTAATCTAATTATTAAGGCCCCTATACTAACGTGGTTCCTGTAGAGGGGCAGATAAGGGTCGGCTTGAAGGATTTTCGCTTTGCGTTTTCTGGTATGCGAACCGGAGTCTGAGTCGGTTGAAGTTAAAAAGAAGAAGCCTGCACAGAAAGTACGGTGCTTCAGTGAGCACAAGCATGTGATGTAAGTCTTTGTGCAAGCAGCCGGCAACGGTACACAGCGAAGCATCGCAGGTTGAAGTCGAAAGCGATCGTTCACACGTCGGCAGTTAACGCACAGATGGTTTGATGAAGATCCTTCAAGTTCTGTGCTACACCAATGTAGTTGTCACCGGCATCAATGAGATGCCCACTGCAAGATCTAGCAAATGAACCGAACCAAAGTCGTTCAAACGATGGAAGCATCTAACACAATACGTGTTTTTTCACATGAGGGTTCCGGGAATGAGCCAGACTTTGTCATCATTTTCCCATGCTGCAATCAAGCCCTTCCATCTCGCAGGAAGTTGTTTGTGATGCGGGTGTCTGGGAGAGCTAAGGCTTAAGTACTGCTTGTAAGTTCAGTTGCGGATAGAAGTCTGAGGTCTCTGGGTCCAGAAGGAAACCCTACTACGGCCGAAGCCCTACACCCTATCGAGCCCGTAAGCTCCAAACGTGAGACTCAGATGCAATGACAACTCCCCGACAAACCCTCAACCCTGACCAACGAATGGAACGGTCAGAAGCCATCAAGAACAATACTTTGCCCAAATGATTGAACAAACTCACAAAGAACCAAACCCCCAAACCTTTTAAAGCATACACCTCAAGCAGAACATCCCTTTACCCGGGGAGTGGAACCATGACCGTCAAATTCCCCAAGGTTTTTGGCAAACGTGGATCCCATCGATGTGAAGCGGGCTTTGTGCCTCGAACCAACATGAACACTAAGTTTTCCTGTGGTTTTGGGGGGTGGGGGGTGGGTGGAGAGTTTCGGGCTTGTTTTGCATAATTTCGGTTTCTGGGGTCTGGGTCTTTTTGGTTGATGCAGGGCTCCAGCGTTGATCATGCATCGGGGTTTCGTTGTATACAGACTGTCAAGCTGAGATGAACGGTTTTGAGTTGTAGGCGATAGGATTCGGTCCTTTGTTTGGTGATCGACAGCCGAGACTGTAGAGCCTGAGCTTCTCATCGGCGGTTCCCGGAGCCTGAGAATAAGATTCCATAACCTCAGCCGGCAATCTTAACGGGTTTGTTAGTGAAGCTTCGGGCAGCCGCTGCTGTCCGGCCCATACCTGCAATCGTTTAGGGTATTCATTGTATGCTCCTGCTTTTTTCAGTCAGCAGTATTCCCTTGTCCCTGATTCAGAAATTTCTGAGGACGGGTCTCAATGCCGAAACCACACTTGTCGTTGTCATCTCCAAGACTTTCACCACGGCGCTCCGGCGGAAGATTGGAGACACGTGCATGTGAACTGGTGTAGTCAGCACATTCCAGCTGTTTGTTAAGCGGCGTTCTTTAAACGTGGGAGGATGTCCGGGGCGTATTTGGGCTCATGTTTGCATGACCTTTCATGTACGGAGGGTTGTTCACACCCGGTAGCAGATGAACATGAATCCCCGGACAGCAGATGTCCCCATCGCCTGATCAACCAAAGCAGCAGCAGGGTCTTCAAAGCCCTGCTTGTTGACATCACCCTCTTGGTTGTCATCAGTATTAACTAAATACCATGATCAGTCTCAAGATGCTTATCGTATGCATTGCAGTCATCGCCACCAGCAAAAAGCAAAGCACCCGTAAACATCATCAGCTTGTTGACCTATTCCACATCATCATTGCCGTCATCATCATCATCATCATCATCATCATCATCATCATATTGCTGTTTTGATTATATTATACCATATTGTTATGTTTAATATTCATCTTCGTCACCGTGTCCATCACCATCACCATCACTACCATCATCATCATCTTCTTCTTCATCTGATTAAGTTTCTTCGTCTTCATCTTCATCAGCACCACAATCACCATCACCATCACCCATCACCATCATCATCATCATCAGCATCACGCGTTGGCAGTCGGATTTGTACGGAAGCTTGGCTCGGATTCAGATTCTCGTAGGGTTTGATGAGTAGGGTGCCCTGCAGGCAGAAACCATGCTGAACGCCCGGACAGTCAAAGACTGGTTGGTGAAGGACCCAAGCAGGGGTGGGAACGGGATGCGAATCCTTAGTCTGCACAGTGCAGGCTACTGCCCATCAGCAGCACCGAGAGGAGTAGAAGTCACAGCTTTGGGATGGTCATGACATGGCAGGAGCTTGGTACGGAGGCGGCCATCGCCAAGCATGTTCCTTGGAGGAAAGGATTCCTTGATCTGTACACGCTTCCCCAACTTCTACCTCTGGGGCCTGTAGGGCTTCAGGCTTAGTTTTTTTAAGTTTAGGCTTTAGGGAGTCGCCCGAAGGGAGGAGCGTTCAAGAAGCCTCCAGTTTAGGTTGCCATGGGGGTCTTCCTTGCTCAAAGGGGAATTGGAGCTGGGGCTTTGTGATGGAGCGCTCTTCTGATACTTCTGGTGCCCTCCAAACTTTAATATGACTCAAGGGACCCAATAGCTCCCCCCTGAAGACTGATCAGCACAGGGAATCCGAATTTCAATCTACGCCGCACCATACGTCTGAAGCTGAAACCATCGGAGAGTTTTCCAAGGTCATCGCATGCTCGACGGCGCTGGCCCGGGACCTCAGGAAGTGTTTTAGGAGCTACTGATTCCGAGACTCTACGGAGTCTTTGTAGAGGCTAAAATAATCGTCCTCAGAGACGCAGTCTGTCACAGTGCATCAGGGCTTTGGGGAGGGCCGGGTGCTTACATGAGAATTCAAGCATAGTTGAATTTGAAGCCCAAACTGACTAGCTTCGGAGTTGGAATGACGGGTTTCAGGCCAATGAAAAGCCTCGATGTTGGTGAAACGCCGCAAAGCTTCACACCCACCTCAAGCCAGCAGCTAAATCCTCCCAACCAGTAACTAAATCCTGCCAACCGTCAACCCTACACGAATCCTAAACCAGCACGCTTGCAAAACATCTCACGCGAGGCCGCAAGCCTCAAAGCCATATGGCCTTGAGAATCCTGTATGACAGAACGCAAAGCCCAGACATTCAGAGCCTGCAGAGTCCACTTCAAGCATATGTCAACAGCAAGGTGCAGTACACTAAGACTCCAAAACCCCGAAGGCACAAACTTAACCCCTACTTCCAAACCTCGGAAACCTCAAAGCCCAAGACTGAAAAACCCTTCTCACCAAACCTTTGCCTTCTAAGGACAAGACGAAGGCCTTCGGTATCGACTCTGCCAACGTCTTCGGTTTCTGGGATTGGGTGGGTGCCGTGACAGCACTTTTTGGGGGCAGTGTGGGGGTTATCAGAAGTTTACGCGTGACTGTTGCGATGCAGGGCTTGGCTTCAGAGTCCGAGCATGGTGAAGGGGTACGGGTTGGCGGCTTGTCGCTGTTTTCTTTTATTCGTGTTCCCCTGCTTCAACACTTAGCTTGCTTATGTTGTTTGACATCACACTGGGTGTAAATTCTGTTTGCACTGCATATATGTGTGTACCAGATCGCAGCCGGGCCTAATAACAGAACACTGGGTTCTTAGCAGCAAGGATTGGGAAAGCAACCTCCTTAGCCCACTGTGTAGTTCGGAAAGGTGTCCTAATCAAGTTGAACCGGCGTTGATGATTAAGCATCCTATACAGCAATATATACATCCGGTTATTAGTCTGCACCTGACTAAGAGGTGGATGTAGCATTACACAGGTTACTGCACAAAGCCATGACCGCAAGGTCACGTTGCGTGGAGTTTGCGGAAACCCGCCACCACGGCCACGGATTGAGGTGTAAGTCGAATTGCCTCAGTGGATATAGAGCTAACCTCCATGGCAATCTAAAAATAATACAATGTTTACAGTTAGTGTTGATGCAATCCGAAGTCCGGTTCAAACCATTTCAGTAGATGTCCTACGTATGACATATTAAGGACAACATACCCCACAAGAAGGGCCCAAAGTCTTATCTTCTCAACCCTAAACACGCCTCAGCGGCTTCTGAAGAGTGATGTTCATATACCAGGTGGTCGCTTCTCCGTTTGCAGCGCGGTGGGGGTCGTTCCGCTCGCGTTGCAGTGCCCTGGCCCCACCAAGGTGAGCTTAGTGCTTGAGGGGCGTAGGCTTTGGGATGGGTTGAGAGCTAGGGTCTCAGGGCGTGGGACGTTTAGTTGGGATTTGTTGCTTCGTGGATGCGTTTCATCCTTCCGCGATGTCCAAGTGATTTGTTGAAAAACCGTGTAATTCAGGACTGTCGAGCAAGAGCCCGCAGACTCTGTGAAGTCTCACTTCCTGTTCGCTACCAGCAAACCTACTGTAGGGGCCTTAATAATTCGAACAGGGTTTTGGGGGTTCCCTATTCTTATAGATATAGTAGAATATCAATCATATCCCCCAAATCCTATTCTGATTATTAAGGTAGCCCCTAAGCCCACAAAGTCGTCTTGGGGTGTATGGGGTTTAGGAGTTCTTACAGGAGTTTAGGGTTTCTCCTTCTTTTTCTTATGCATCTCAAATTTCTTACATAACCTTTATTATCGCATGTACCTCATATATACATCTTACGTGGATATATATATATATAGACAATATATATATATATATATATACACACACACACCTTAGATATAGCATACATATATACATACATAATATTAATATATATATATATATATATATATATATATATATATACATATACATATACATATACATATACATATACATATACATATACACACACACACGCATTTACATCTTATATATATATATATACACATAGATATTATATATATATATATATATATATATATATATATAAAGGTACGGCTTTGACGTCGTTCAGAAGTTCCTGGCGGGCTGCCGGGCCATGGACCTGCACTTCCGGGACGCGCCCTTGGACAAGACGCCCGGGCACGACCAGGGCTGTTGAGGTTAGGGTTTGAGGATTAGGGTTGAGGGTTGGGCGCTTTTGAAGTTCAGGTATAAGAAGTACTATGGTATACACCCTAAAGCATCCCACAGCCCTATTGTACCCACGAAGGGTCCTATATTGGTCAAGGTCTATAGCCTCCCTGAAAACAGGATCCGTATTCTGTTTCCTTCGATTCCCCATTCGGGTCGTGTTTTCAAGTTGATCAGAGGTCCCGCATTCTGACCTCAAGTCATCGCTCCGAGGAACCTGCCTAGCATCCTCGGCTTACTTTCCGTGTGGAATGCCTCCTGCCTCGGATACGAGGCTCTTCGACTTTTGGGGGGATTTGGGGGGTGGGAAGCAAGGTTTCCAGGCTCGGCTCACTGCATAGGCAGCAGGGTTGAAGCCCTATAGGGTCTAGGATAGCACCAGCCTTAAGATGAAACCTCGGCTCCGAATACACATGGCATATGGTCCTGGATGGCTCACACTGCCAAAGGTGGAGCATTAGGAATGATGAAACAGTACATACATGAATGTGGACCCCAAAGTAGAGCCGAAAAAAGACCAGGCCCTCACATGGCCATCACGTTGGGAGCACACCCAAGGTATAGCGATCAGTCCGAGGTCAGTGTACTGTAGGGGCCTCAAAGATGACCTACACTATTTTGGGGCTTCCTTATGTAAATTATGGGATAATGGGCCCCAAAACCTTATTCTAACTGGTCAGGCCGCTATATTAGTGGCATCATGCATTGGATTTGCTTCAGCCGCAGCAATAAAGACTCCTACACCACCTCGGAAGTATGGGAAGGGTACCTGGGTTCTCCTTAGAAGGTGGGGTTTGATTTCACTGTAGTACATAACCCAGGGTACGTTTAACACGGTTGTTTTGTCATGTGCCCAAGAGGCACACAGGTGCGGGACTCCACTTAAATGATATTCTCTGTTTCCTGCAGAAAGTATGATTACATAGTGTGAATATGAATAACATGTATCTCGAGATGTTCTTTGTTAATTTTCATTGTTGAGAAGTGCTGTCGAGCTCCGCTGTTCAGCCTTCCAATCGAAAGCCTCAGCCCTGGACGCTGCGAGCGCGAATCCTCGACCCTGTGAACCCTGACACATGGGGAAGCCCGAACACGCGTTTTAATGTTTAAGACTAAAGGGTTCAGGATTTTCGCGGTTCAGAGTTCCCCGCTTTGCTTTTAGGGTTCAGGGTTTGGGCTGTGTTTAGGATTTGATTCAAAACCCTCGGCCGCCAGGGCTGTGCTGTCCTGCCGTACTGTCAGGCCCTGGTGTGTCTCGGCTGCTATGTAGGAACCTGATTCAGAAACACTGGGCCTATAGCCACAAAATAGTAGGATTCATATAAGGAACCCTAATAAAGGCCCAAGGTTTCTTAATCAGCTTCCCACATGATTCGAGACCCGGTTTCCCTTCAGACTTATACTACCCGTCAATGTTCGTCAGTCAGATGCCTGTTCGGGGCGGTTGAGGGAATCTCGTCAAGGCGCTTCGTGGCCCACATCCAGCAACTGGACATGGAGAGCAATGGTGTTTCGGCAGCAAAACTGGTGGGATAACCAGGGAACCCCTTTACATTCCGACTTCAGAATGTGTTCTTGGTGGTGGGAAACAGTGGGGCAGGGTCCCATATGTGGAGTCTTTGGGCCACCCTTAAGTGCTACAAGGCTGAACTCCGCGCAGTTCCCGGTTTTTGTGAGGCACACAACCTCGCTTAAGTGTACAGTACCTTGTGCAAGCCCGAAACCGAAAAAGCCGCGGAAAGCCCAAACTTTGCCATCGCGAAGCTGCAGCCACTGTAATCATCAGTCCCATACCCTTGTAGCGTTGACATCAGCCATCCCTAAGCTATACGTTCAGCCATGAAGGCAAGCGGGTGCAGATGGATGGCGCTGAATGCACAGCTGCGCGGATGCACTCAGGACTAGGTCAGATTCAGTGTTTCAGGGTCTTGGTCTCGGGTGTGGCCAAGCAATATCTGTTTCATGTTAAGTTCTACCTGGACTCATTTCTGTTGTTGTGACTTTTAAGGCATTATGTATCAGTATTCGTAGAGGTTTGTTTTGGTGTGCTGCCTGTCAAGCAGACTCAGACCTTTTGCCGACATTTCCCGCTTAAGGAGCAAGCTTGGCTGAATCCCTTCAACAAGAAGCTCTACGTCAATGATCAGACTAGGATCGTGGGGTATAGGGCTATAGGGGATATTACTACCTTGCCCGAGCCAAGCCCTGTCGTAAGAGAGAGCTCTAAACTTCCCATGCAGGGGCCTAGCCGATTGATGAGGGCCTACATTGTAGCACAGTGCAGGGACTGTGAGGGCCATTCAGGCCTCGAGACTTTACAGAGGGCCAGATTGGGATTGTTTTGGAATTGGCGTTTGGACGGTGGCAACCAGACTGGTTAGAGTCCCATGCGAGGTGCCCACAGGCGCCATCTACTTCGGCGAACCCGGTACGAACGGTCAGCACAGCTTCTACCAGCTGATGCACCAAGGATAATGCTTGCTGGGGCTGGGAGAGCTTATGACCTTTATGTTTCCTCTTGCAGGGTCAGAGTTCGACCCGATCGTACTTCATGTAGCAGTGTTCCAGCAATGGCTGGAAATGAAGCAGAGTCGCATCCATGAAGCGCTAAAGCTTGCAGCCCAAGCCCCCGCAACCCAAGTCGTTTGATCCACGTTGTCGTCGTTTCTATGAGACCGTGGTCGCCGGTTCTCAGTGCGATGTTGTGTGCTTGAAGGTTCGTGCATCGATTCAACCGGGTGGCGAGCAACACAGCCCTGTAGATAAGCACTGCGACCCCAAGCCCTCTTGGGTCGAACTCGAGAAACTACTTAGACCTACTGAACCCTACGTTTTCGTAGGTTCTTAATATAAACCCGAATACGGGATTTATAGAAAAAAAGCGGGTTCGGGTAGGTTAAGGTACCTAGGAGTTCGGAATTGAAAAGCGCCGGGCTTTGGAGCCAGGCTCCAATGATGTAGCTCGCCTAGTGGATAGTTGCTTGGGGCTAATGCCGCGGTTTCCGGTTTAGGCTTTAGGACGGTTTGAGGGGGTTTAGGAAGCTTAGGGTTGAAGGTCCTGCCCTGAAGGAGTCTTGCGTCCTGACCTTTCTTTCCTAATGTTGGTAGCAACGTGGCGAATCGAAAACCTATAAATCCGAAACACAACAGCCCGTAAACCCCTGTAAGTCCAACAACCTCCTAAAATTAGAACCTGAAACCCTGAACCCCTACCTACTAGGTAATTCCGACTGCAGCTGGGAGGAACAGGGCCCTCAAAAGAAAAGAAAAGAACCCTGAGTCGAAGCAACAAAATGCCAGGACGCGCAATTCCGGCCGACTTCATCGGCTTCAAGGTGTCGCAGAACCCGATCAGCCACCCGGCACTTACTAAGATATCTCTCATATAGGAAATTAGAAAAATCGCCAATACGATTTTGGCGGTGCCTTATTCCGAACATAGTAGAACGGGCCCCAAAACCTTATTCTAATTTTTAAGGCCCCTATGTTATAGTACTCTTAGTATAGATCCTGTGCAGCTGTTTATAGCCCTTATAGACACCTGTTAAAGGAACCCTCTTCTAATTATTAAGCCACCTCCCAACCCATAGCCCTTAAAGACCCTTTTAAGGGAACCCTATTCTAATTATTAAGCCACCTCCAACCCAGGACCCTGCATGCCCTAAGTCGAAGTTGCCAACCTTTTCATCTCGGTGTTTGCGGTTGCATGCAACGGGCAGGCACTAAGATAAAAGGAGACTATCAGGTAAGAAATGGTTCGCCTTTGCTGATGGTTCTCATGTCAAGCTGCGGAACCTCGTACGACGAGAAGAAGACTAGCTTACAGAGGAAGCGTGTCAAAACTGCAGTCGCAACAGTTTCAAACCGTTACGTCAGTTCTTCTTACTGCGAATTCCACCACTTGTGGTATCATCACAACTCGTCAGAAGGGCACATGCCTCGCGGCAAGCTGCTACTACTAGTGTACTACTGTACTACTGTACTACTGTACTACTACTACTACTACTACTACTACTACTACTACTACTACTACTACTACTACTACTACTACTACTACTACTACTACTACTACTACTACTACTACTACGACCACCACCACCACGACCACCAGCTCGCCCGAGGCTTGGATGGGGAGCCGGTGTCCAACCACGATGAGCTGATGTCCAACTTCTTCGCACAGCCCGATGCTCTCGCGCTGGGGAAGACCGCAGAGGAGCTAAAGGCAGTTCGGGGTTTTGGAATTGGTGGGTTAGTACTGTTGTGTCTGTAAGTAATCTAGGTTTCAGAGTTTAGGGCCTAACCATCAGAGAAGTGACAGGGATCGGTTGTGGGGTTGTGGGATTGTGAACATGTCAGGATGTGTTGGGCATACCCCGAATGCTTTTGAGTCGTTTAAGACCCCTAAAACCCTAAAACCCCCTCAGCCGCAAGAACCCCAAGAAAGCCAAACCCCAAAATCCACCCCACCCCTAAACCCTAAGCCCCCTTAGCCTCAACCGCCCACTACCAAGCTCGACTGGATCAGGCCGATGGCATTCCCGAGAAGCTGATTCCGCCTCTGGGTTTTGTCAGTTTTGTCTGTCATGTGGGAGTTTCCGAAAATTGGGGTACCTTATTTTGGGGTCCTCATAATAAGGATCCTATACTATTTAGGGTACTATATGAGAGTCCCCAATTTTCGGAAACTCCCATGTAGGAGAGTCCACTAGGATGCACCCAAAACCTCTGTATTCGGGTGTCGGGGTGGCACAGGCTTCAGGCCCAAATTCATAGACCGCAAGCCCCTTAAATCAACGGTTCAAACCATGGGCCCCTAGTATGGGCCCTTAACCTTGGGATCCTTATATGCCTATATACTATATACTCTATATAGACTCTTATAATACGGGTCCATATTAGGTGCCCATACTTCCAACCTTGGATTAAATCAATCCCTTCCCTTATATTTGAAATCGCCAAATCCTGACGCTCGAAATCCTTAAACCTTAAAACCCCCACCCCATCCCAACCGCCCGGCATTGCAAGCCGCTTTCATCCGAGGCATAAGGTCTTCACGGGAGATCGCCCCTCGAACTCCTTGCTGCTGCCCGTGTGCGATCCGCATCTCGCTGGGGTATGACTTATAAACCTAGGGTCAAGGGTGCAATCAGTACAGAGTCTGAGTAAGTAGTAACAGAACCCGTTTCTGGAATGCACTATCATATACTCCAAGCCCATTTCGAAATCACTCAGGTGCTGAGACCCACCATGCTTGGGAAGGTTGACACCATGTAGGCTCTAGGTCTTGGACTGTTAAGAGATCTGATTCAGCCACCACTATCCCCTACGTACTTAAGAAGGAAGCCTTAAACCCGACACCCTAAACCTTAAATCGCGAATACCCATTGCTTTAACAGAACTGACGTCTTTCACTGAACCTCTAAAGCCTAAACCCGTTTTACGGGCCCCAAACCTCTTCGGACCTCTGAGGTACAACTTGGGACTGCTCCTGGCCCTCTATGAACACCGCACGGCCGTGCAGGGCTGGGTCGGGACCTCAGGCGCTTTCTCTCTGAGATATCAGACTGGGGACTGGGGTTGGGGGGGGGGTAATTACATCACATAGGATACCAAGTGATAACAAGAAGGAGCTTCGGGTGCCTTAGGGTCTACAGCTTCTGGCCTAAGGTCCGGGTACTTGCAAACGGGCCAGGGTGCCTGGGCCCTAAACTTTGTCCATGAAACCCTGCGCGTCTGTAAGAAGTACCTCCGAAATCCTACGGACCGATAGGTGGCTTTAGATTCCTTTCCTGAAGCGCCGACCTGGGGATTCAATGTGAGACTTGAAGCCCAGAGCATCCTAGCTTCCGAACCCGAAGCCCTTGAAATCAGCGACTCCAGAATCCATAAACCCTACATGAAACTCAGGAACTGCTTAGCCCTGAGTTCAAATCAGCGGAAATCTCCAGACTTGATGAAGTTACATCCCTAAACCCCGAAGCCCACAAAAGCCCACAGACCCTAGTTCCGGGAACCCTGCACCCCTGTTAGAGCTCGCCAAACTCTAGCCCTCAACCCCGAAGAAGCCCGAATTCCTAGACCCTAAACCCCTAAATCCTAACCCCTAAATCCGAAGACGAAGGTCTGGAATATCAACTCCTTCGATCAGTGGGGCGTGGAGCTGGGCAAGGTTCTGGGAGTCAAGGTCCGGAAGTACCTCTCGGAAGCGCGGAAAGGCAGGGCCTTTAGGGCTTCAGGGTTTACTTTTAAGTAGTTACCTATGCTATACTCTTTTCGGGGGATCCGTGTTATAAATATAGTACAATATACACCAAAACCCTATTCTAATCATTATATAAGGCCCTCTTATAGATCCCTTGTACACCCTTCAAAGGAGCCCTATTCTAACTATTCAGGCCCCTAGAAGGGTTTAGGGTCGAGAATGGGCTTCGGGATTGGGAAGTGTAGGGTCTGCTGTGTCTGAAGTGGAGGCACTGGTTGTCGTCGCAGTCGTAGTCGTGGTTGATACATGCATACATACTATTCTGAATACTGCTATTGTTGTTGTCATTCTTCTCCTTGGTAGTGTTAGCATGGCCAGTGTGAGGCCTGTTCACAGGGCGGAGGATAACACCGATTTGTGGCAAGCTAGACCCTCAGGTTGAACTAGGTACACGAACGTCAGGCTCCTTGAAAGCTGTGCGAGAGTTGGCGCGGTAAAGAAGCCGCCTTGCCCGGCAGGACGATTACATCCCAAGATCCAGAAAGGCTTTGGAAGCCTTAATGCCAAAAGCCCTGAGATCCTGCGGACCGAAAGCGCTCTTCGGCCCCGAAAGGTAGTGGAGATGCCTCCGGCTTCCAGAAGCCCACCGCGATACTTGTGCTGCGATAGGGGCCTTAAGCATTGAGCGTTCGAATAGGGTGTTGAGTGTATATATTGGAGGATAGCTATTAATTACTAATTTGCCCCTGTAGTACAGGTTGTGGCTCGGGCCAAAGGGCTCTGAGTGCAGGTGGTTTGTGCATTGCAGTGCTTGGTAGGTGTTTTTGAATGCAGATTTGAGGTTGAAGCTTCAGAGTATTTGGGGGCTAGGGTTTGTGGTGTAGGGTTCATGCCACGGGCTTTGCAAGGGATGTTTCTTGATGAACGTCCTTAACTCGAAGGCGGCGAGGATATTGCCTTGGACACCGCAGAAGTAGCCTGAGCTCTCGACTCTGCGTATCCAAGGAAGCTAATGTCGGCCATGCTGACGGCACCTCAAGCGGGTGGCGACGACAGGAAGCAACTTCCTTGGCCCACCCAACAGCCTTAGATACTTAGGGATTGGTTTTTTTTGGCCTTCAGCATCCTGCTCCAGCTGCTGGGAGTTGCACGTAGGGTGTACCTTAATTGAGCCACACATCAAAACACAAGCTAAGCTCTATGAGTCTTTCGAATCTTAGACCCCGGACCATAATCGCCGGCGAATCAAAAGCCAAAGTGTTTGATCAACACTTTACTGAACACCTCTGCTACACGAGGCTCTGCCTTGTGGGTTTAGGGTGTTTGAGGCTTTAGGACTTTAGGGTTTATCACGAAAGCTAGCTCTGTTGAGCTCGCGGGAGTTGCCCTTTAGCAATTTTCACTTGGTCTACCTTGTATTAAGGCACTAGGGCAAAACCAGGGCTTACACCTTATCAGGTGGGACGTCCAAGAGTTAAGGTGGGGGGGTGGGGGGGAGGAGGGGCCGCCCCCCCCCTCACCTCGCTCATGAAGCATTTTGAAGAGACAAGGTGTGGTTTCCCCCCGCCTCCCCCCCCCACCTTTAAGGTTGCGGCGCGTGGGACAAGGTGGGGGGGGGGCTCCCCCCCCCCCTACCCACAGGTCCCCCCCCCCTCCTTCCACAAGGTCCCTGAGTTTGCTTGTGTTTGAAGTTTATCAACTTGCACTCCAACCGTAACAGAAACTTGTAACCAGCACAAACCTCCAGATCGCAACGCCAACCCGGTGGTTCCCGTTACAGCATGGCGGCAGCACCTTCTAACTGAATGTGGCCTGTTGGCTTCTAATATTACGTCTTAGGGTTACAGAATTTGGGATTGAAAATCCAAAGTATCTTTCAGCCAGCTGACACTCCATGAAACTGAACCGAACATACCTTGTCGCCTCGGCCTCGTGTTCGACAGTACTCTCATGTCACATGTGTCCCCCGCCTTACTCAGCCCCAATTGCTCGCAGCTACGCTTCCTCTCCCCTAGCTTTCGTGGCCCTCTTCTCAAGTAGCCCCCAGACTTCCCGTATCATAATTACACAGAAGCCGACCTCTGTTGAGGAACCCTTCTGGTGATGTGGCCGAACTGAGTAGCAAGGTTTGACCCCAGGCTCACCTAATATAGTCAAGACGAGTGTAGAACCCCTCAGTGGAATTATTGAGGCCTTTTGTGGGAGTCCCCGTGCCGCAGGATAATTATGATCCGCGCCCGTGAAATCTACGACTCCAGAGGGAACCCCACTGTCGAGGTGTGGCAGGGCAGTCATGGGTTTGGATTTGGGGCGGAGGGCTTCCCTTGCATTCTGTAGGCCCTGCAGGCACCTGGAGTGTGGGGTTGAGTGCAGGGTCCTGAATCTTAGGGTTGTGGGCTCACAGAGGGTTCTTTGCAGCTGTGGCAGCTACACTTAAGGGTTCTTGTTGTAGCTGTGGGCAATCAGTTTGGGGTTTCGGACTTAGTTTTCGGCTCTATGTAATTAAGCCCCAATCCCACAAGAAAGGCCAAAAGCCTGTTTAGCAATTAACCCTGAAGGGATTGATGCTACAAGCGATCATGGACAAAACCCAAGGCATCATCTCAGCCCCCAAAAGCCTCGAGAAGTGAAGCCCCATCCTAAACCTTAACCCCTAAACCATCCCCAACCCTGAACCCTAGTCCCTAAACCATCCTAAATCCTTAAGCCTCAACCCCAAACCATCAAACCCCCAAACCCTAAACCCTAAACCTTTGAGCCTCCCTTGAGGTCGATCTCGTCACGGAGACCTCGCTCTTTCGCGCAGCGGTGCCCTCCGGTGCATCGACGGGGATCTACGAGGCCCTGCATCTTATGGAGCTTAGGGTCCGGGGCTTAGGGCTCGGGGTTTGTGTTTGAGGTTTGGGAGTTGCGTTGTGCGGAGGCTGGGGTTCGGTTGCAGTACCAGTGTTTCGTTTTAATTGTAGACTTTTTGACGCGACTCATATCACCCGAGAAGCCCAGCAATCTATATGGAAGGCTGCGGGCTCATGGGTACTAGGCAATGCTTCGATGAGGTTTCAGGAGCAGTCTTCCACAGCATTCATACGTGCGCTTGTCGGAGACATTCCTTGGAGGATGGCAGGGGGTGGCCCTTACATGGGGACTCTCCAGTCGAGCAACATGTTGATAATGATTCTTGTGGTAAGGCGCTGAAGAAAAGGGGTGTAACCAGGGCCCAGGCCCAGGAATCTATATGGGTGGTTGTCAACACTAGGTCCCGCTTTGGGTTCCTATTCTAATACGGCACCTAATATTAGGGTACCCAGAAAAGACCCTAATTTTGACAACCACCCATATGATCTAAACCCGAAACCTCAAACCGAAACGCTTATCACTCAGAGCTTAGACTCTAGACCCTAAACCCTAAACCCTAAACCCGTAGCCATTTTGGCTCAAGCGCACTTGGCTCAACAACTCCAGGTGCCTTGCTAACTCCCCACACTTCTCCAATGCTTTTGAAAGGACTTCGTTCTTGTGTTGTGTTGTTGGTCCTGGGTGGTGGTACAGCGACAAAGACGTCTGTCCCTGTCCAGCGGCCGGTGCAGGTGGAACAACATCTCTCAGAGGCTGACGAGCCCGCGTCAGTCAGTCTCGCGACGGATGGAGCTTTGGCTTCTTGCGTCGGTGCTTATGCCGACGAGCCCGTGTCAGTCAGTTCCACGGAGGAAGCTTTGCCGACGAACGAGGAATGCTCCACGGCGAGTTTCGGGACGCTTGCAGTTGTGGTTGAAAACACTGAGCCGTTGACTCCAACTACTGCATCCCTGTTAGCCTTGGTGGACGATGATGCTGCTTCATCCAGCTCGGCTACGCATGCCGAGCAGGCTTCTTCGAGCTCGGCAGCACCTGCCAATCAGATCACGGCTTGCTCGGCGCCCGCTGAACATGCGGCTTACCCTGAAGAGGCTGACCAGGCTGCCGAGTTGGCGGCTTCAACTTCACGTTAGACTTGGGCTGTGATTCTTTTTCAAGAAGCTCCACTGACCCGATGCCGCGGCAGGAGCGCAACTTTCGTGTGCAGCGGCCGCGCTTCAAGAGAACACCTGGGCCCATGGAGCCGCAGGAATGCTCCACGGCGAGTTTCGGGACGCTGGCAGTTGTGGTTGAAAACACTGAGCCGTTGACTCCAACTACTGCATCCCTGTTAGCCCTGGTGGACGATGATGCGGCTTCATCCAGCTCGGCTACGCCTGCCGAGCAGGCTTCTTCGGAGACTGTACTTCGTCCTCCTGGTCTTCATGGTCCACGTGGGATTCGTGGACTTCGTGGACGTCCTGGTCGGCCTCTTCCTGGGATACATGGTGGTCCAGCTCTTCGCCTACCACTTCTTCGTCTACATTTCTGGTAGTGCCTACTGCTGGCCTGGATCCTCAAGCCTCGACTCCTTCCCATGAGGAGGTCTCTCTGATGCAAATGACAGGTGCAGAAAGGGCGACCCTACAAGAAGCTGGTATGGACGCCATCGGCATTAACCAGGTTGAGCAGTTCCTGGAAACCCTGGACCGACATAATGACAATGATCTAGGTCCTGAGGCACGATGGGCACTTGGACGTTTGCTTGCCCGTGTAGAGGAAGGACTTGGTGCGGTCGAGGCGATTTATGGTGTTCTCGTTCGCAGGCTCTTACCACACAGCTTCCTCCCGCTTCAGAGGGTGCCCAACACCGAGATGGCTCGCTGGCAGTTGTTCAACTGGGCACGGGGTTTGACTGGGGCAATCAGCAACACGTTGGATCGGCATCTCCAAGTTCGGCTACAGGCAGGAGAAGGCCCTGAATCCAGCGTGCACCCGTCTCCGGCTACTATCGCGGCGGAGGTCGTCCCCGGGAGTCCTCGTCTACGGTGATTGTCGAGCCCTCGCCGGCCAGTAGTGTGCGATCTCGCAGCAGAGGGAGCCGTGGTAGCGAGCGTAGTGTTACTCGGCACCGGAACTGTTCCAGCTCCTCTTCAAGTGGCGATGCTCCTTCCCTTAACAGTGACATGGCTTACGATGAGCGAGGGGTCCTTGTGCATATTCCGCCGGCTAGTCCGGGAGGATCTCCTCGTGGACCACCTCCACCAGTTCCTGTCAATCTTCCTCCTGGTGAACTCGCTCCTGGACATCATGGTACTGTGGCTCAGGCCCTCGGGGGTGCTCTTCTTGGAGTGTGGGCGGAAGTCAGTGAAACGGACTCCTCCTCTACAACTACAACCACCTTGGAGCCTGGCATGGAGTCGCCAGACCTGTTGGAGTATGAGGAGGGTGATTCAGTGGTGTGGGTGCAGTTGCCAGGTTCTATCTCGTCCTCGCTGACGACCACGTCTGTGGACTGGACCTTGGAAGTGACTTGTGTTCATCCTGGCTGGTCCTCTACCTCGTCAACTTCGACCACGTCCACGATGCTCGCTCCGGAAGATGTGGTACGTGACACCGTTAACCGGGAGCTGGTCTATGGCAGTGTGGCCGATATTCTACATGTAGTCCATCGACTCCAAGATCGCCATCGTCATCTACTACACCTGTGTCGGTTGATAGGGGTGGCCACTGAAGAAGCTCTTACCTGGATACCCCACCCTGAACATTCTCTCATCCTCAACGGTGGGACCATAGATGCCCGGATCTGGGAGTGCGTGGGTAGAGAGGCTCAATATGGGGTGAGAGCTTCCTCGTCGGGCACCACCCAAGTTGCCACAACGACAGCAGCACTGATGCACCCAGGGCTTCCACAGGATCTACCTGTTCTGTGGGGTGCATTGCCTCAAGTTGAAAGGCACGTGGTTGTTGGATTCCGTCGACGTGCATGGCGACGACACGCTAGACAGTTGCACGAGTCGGCCGGCGTTTCGGTCCCGGAGGGGTTCTGGCCGGCTGAGGATGACCAGGTACTCTACCTGATCCAAACGAATGAAGGTGAAGCGGCCACTAACCTTCCGGATGGGAATACTCTACCTTCTCTCCCCAACCGTCGTGACCCTCGCCAGCGCCGTCGTCAACATGTTCCGCGCCCTGCACCGGTTCTTCTTCCCCTTGGAGGTCTGGGAGATGTGACAGATGCTCAGCCACATGTTGGACGATCGTCTGTTAACAGGTTGCCAGGGCGAGATAGTGTGCGACTTGCTCCTCGTGCTGCCCGTGATCGCAGCAGAAGCCGTGATGGTGAGAGTGGAGTTCTGCCTGGACCTCATGTTGGAGCTGAAGATGGTGGCTCTGGCTTGTCGTTGTCAACCTCAACTCCTTCGTCGGGTTCTACCGCCGGGCCTCTGCAGTTGCCTTCGGGAACCTCGCTCACTGCTGGTGATGACACTTCGTCTGCTCGTCGTGATGCTGGCCCTCGTGAAGAGCATGGTGGACGTGTCGGTGCTCGAGCTGTCTTGTCGTCCCGTCGCCGCGGTCTGGAAGTGGTTGATTGAGGAGTACATGAGTGAGAGAGGGTTTTCTTTGGCGTGGATTCTCCTGCAGGATCTATGCTAGTGTAGGCCGAATCTCGGCCGGACCTTTCTGCAGAAAAAGGCCCCATTGCACTTAAAAAAAAAAACCCTAAACCCCTAAACCCCTAAACCCTAAAACCCTAAACCCCTAAACCCCTAAACCCTAAACCCCTAAACCCCTAAACCCTAAACCCCTAAACCCTAAACCCGGCAACCCCGAAGCTGAACTGATAAGGGAAGATACAGGGGGCCCTTCGCCAGGTCCAAGTCCCTGTAGAGCCACTATGAAGCCCCGCAGACTCCTCACATCACCCTGAAAATCCGTCACCAGAACAACCTACAACTCTCATGAAACCCCTAAACCCTTTAAAAGTCTTTATGAAAAAGGCGGCCCTATGTAACGCTTATGAAACCCGATAAAATCCTTAGTATAACCCGAATGAAACCCGTATAAACTCCTTATGAAACCCGTGTAGAATCCTTATGATTATGAAATCCTCAATAGAACCCTCATGAAACCTGATAATACCCTTGGAAAAGAGGCCGACCAGCCTGGATTGTTCCAAGCCCTAAACCCTAAACCCTGCTTCTGTCTGGTAAGGGTGCTGGGGCTCCTGGCCTGCTGGCCTTAGTGCTTGCCGACTGCCTGGCAGACATCAAAAAGGAGCTCAAATAAAAATCCCTGAAGCAGGCCCTGGAGCTAAAAAAAACTTTAAAGCAGGCCTTGGAGCTCAAAAAATTCCCTGAAGCAGGCCCTGGAGCTCAACAAAGAATTCCCCGGAGCAGGCCCTGGAGCTCCGGGACGGCGACAAGAGTCGGCTTCTGGGGAAGGGAGCCTCGGCCCGATGGGGGTTCTTCTCTTAGCTTCCTTCGAAGGTAGAGGTTCCCTTAAAGGAGCCCTTGAAGGAAGCCTAAAACGAGCCCTTGAAGGAGCCCTTAAAGGACCCCTTAAAGGAACTCTTAAAACCAAGCCTCTAAGGGTACCATGGTTCCTTAAAGCGTATGCGTTCCCCAAAGGGTACATCCGGCTTGCGGGATGAAGGTCGAAGGTTTGGCATGCAGGGTCGAGCCCAAACTGTTTCCGAAATTCGGTTCAGAGTCGCTTAGGGTTTTGGATTCTGGATTACAGGCTGAGGGTGTAAGGTTTGGGACTTGGAGTGCTGGGGGTAGAGTGCGAGGGGGGCTTACGCGCTTGAAGTTTGTAATGTCGAGGGTTTTCGGCGGAGCAGGCGATGTTACTCACCGAGATCCTGATCCAAGCCAGGCCCCCACAAAGGTTTCAGGCATCCGACAAACATGCTACTCAAGACTCGAGTCTTGTGGTCACAGGTTGAGGGTCACGGGGACTCACAGGTGTGCTGAAAGCCGTGGCGAACATCAATGACATCATCGCTCCGAAGTTGATTGGCATGAAGGTCACGGATCAGGCCTGCGGACTCAGGGAGGTTGCTCCCTCACTGGTACAGGTAGGATCCTCAATATGAGGACCCCAGAACCCTAAGTAGTCGGATCGGCAGCACAAAGGGCCCTCAGGGAACTGCCTCAGGAAGCACGTACGAAGGATCCTCATGGCTCCGCTTGGACCGACAACAGGGTTCCAAAGGATGCGGCTGTTATGGATTCGGGCTTACATGGTTTTCGGGTTTGGGGCTTGGCGCTTTGGTACGAAAGCCATGCACTGACCAGGCCACTCTGGACAAGCTCATGGTCGAGCAGCTGGATGGCTCCAAGAACGAGTGGGGTTGGCTTGGGCCTTGGCGTTTGCACCCCTTGGTAGGCCTGCAGGCTTTGGGGCGGGTTTGGGTAGGTAAAGCTAAACTGCTAATTTTCCTCATTGGAAAGGATGGCAGGAGAGTGTAACGGAGTGTTTACCATATCTGAAGCCCTTGACCCTGCGCCAAGCTGCTGCTGCTGCTGCTGCTGCCGCTAGTGGATAAGTTTCTGCGCTGTCCATGATATGGCATCGTAGTCTCTCCCACTCTCCCAAACCCTATAGACTACTGTGCATAATTAGCTAGGGAGGGTCACGCTTAGGTTCGCGGACTACCGTCCCACCATATTCCCCGATAACCATTCTTACCAACATATCCTATACCCACACCACCCAAAAGACCTTAACAATCCTCATAACCTATCATAACCAAATACCCTAACCCTCTCTAACCCACAATCCTATAACCACACCACCAAAAAGACCTTAACAATCCTCATAACCTATCATAACCAAATACCCTAAACCATTCTTACCAATACTCCTATCAACCCAAACCCCCAATACCAAAACTCCTAACTCCCTAATCTCACCAAAACCCCCTCCAAGCGAACTCGGGCGTGAACCTTATTTAATTTTCATAATTAATTATTATGAAAACTAAACGTTTAAGAATGCATTATTGCATATAAAGATGCAAAAGTTTTAGAGTTTTCTGTTTTCGCATTCTGATTTTTATTTTCATCCCTAGCAAGTTGGTTATGTTTATTCTCATTCCGAATGTTCTTTTGTGTTTTCAAATGTTCTGAGAAAGTATTTTTCTTCACATTGCAGTCACAAACTTCACAATATTTTTCTAGCGGTCTATACTGTTGTTTTACTTCTTTGATTTTGTCTTTATTTCTTTCCTTGTATTTTCTTTCCGTGTCCAAACATTTATTACAATATTTGTTTTCATCCCTGAACTCATTCTTATCTCGCGCAACTTTACATCTGGTACATCTTTGTTTTTCCTCGGTCATCTCTTAATATCATATGTCGCTTTCTCTTTAAGTCTTTTTCTCCTAAAACCCCTCTAAAATCCTATAACTAACAATAATGTTTCCAATCTCTCTTTTAATTTTCCTCTGCTATATTATTATTCTGTATCATAATTATATTCCTCATATAATATTCACGAGACCTATCTAAACACCTTCTACACGCTTTATTCATCCTACCGTTTTTCTTCTTATGTCTATACTCTGACAATTCCTTAAATCCATTACAAACGCTACATTGTTTATATATTTTACCTTCTTCTCCTGTTATTCTAGGCTTTTCACTAAAATCAATATTAAAATCTTCTTTCTTCATATTATATTATTTTACAAACTTATTATTAGTTTTTGTAATCTTAATTCATCAACATCTTTCTTTACATCTTCAATAGTTGTTTCCAATTTGTCAATTCTTTCATCAAGCTCTTCTGGTGTAATACGATTTGAACCAAAGCCTGTATCACATATTTCAATACTGCCATTTTGTAATGCACTTTCTGGCTTAAATATTACATCTGGACTAACATTTCTACTACTTCCGAATTTTATGTTTCTTCTGTCTTCTATTGTATTCGTAGTAGTTATATTATTTTCCGTTGTTGTTTTAGTCTCTTTATGATAAAGTTGTTTTTTACATCTGCACGGAAAGCAAGATATGCCTTTTGTATCAATACGAAATCCTCTCTTACTAGAATTCTTACTAGTATCACTCATTATATTATTAATAATTACAAATAATTATTAACAATATCATAGGGGTTCTTCTTCTCCAAAACGAATTCTGAATTCTTTTGTTATAATATCTTACTCTGTGAGCTAGTAAGTATTTATAACGATATAGATTATTCCACTGGCAATACAAGGGGTGCAAAAAATACGGGGACTGTCCTTTACCCACTATTTAATAGAAATTAATTTCTAAATATTATTAATGAGTAATATTCCGATAGTCAAACCTATAAACGTGAAGGAATACGATTTTAAACAATCTAAATATGAAGTAGCACCTAAATTACCGTTCTCAATGATTATAACAGGTCCATCAGGAAGCGGTAAAGGTATTCTATTACAGTCGCTTATTCTAGACATCTACAGAGACGTCTTCGCACGAGTTTATGTCTGGTCTCCTTCGGTTTCCATTGACCCTAACTGGACACCTGTTAAACGATATATACAAACAGAATTGAAGGTGGATACAGAAAAAGAAAAATGTTTCTTTGATGAATACAATCCATCAGAACTTGAAGCTGTAATAAATAGACAACATAAGATAACAGAATATCAAAAGAAGAACGGACATAAGCAATTGCATTCAATATTAATAATAGTGGATGACTTCGCTGATTCAAAAGAATTTTCAAGAAACTCACCTTTACTTAATCAATTATACGTTCGTGGAAGACATAAAGCAATATGTATTATAACAGCTACTCAAAAATTCAATTCGTTAAGTCCTATCATACGTGTCAATTCAAGACAGCTTTTTTTCTTCCGTTTGAGAAACTATAAAGAGATTGAAACGATGGTAGAAGAATTAAGCGCCGTCTTGATTAAGAAATCAACGGTCGCTGATGCAAAGAACCTAGCGGAAGCTAAAAAACTATTACTTGAAGTTTATAACATAGCCACGGAAGAACCATACAGTTTCTTATTCATCAATCTTATGAAGCCGGATGTCAATGATATGTTTTACAAAAGATTTGATGCTAAATTAGTTATTGATTGATAATATTAATATTCATAATATTATTAATCATATTAACGAATAGTTACATATTTGAACGGGAAAACGATAAAATATTTTATCACTCTTTTTATCTTTCACTTCTTTAACATCTTTAATAATTTCCTTTAACACTTTAATTTGTAATTTATCAATATTGCTTAAATCCAGTTGGTCTTCATCAATATTATTTATTTCATTTATATAACAATTATCATTATCATATTTCTTTGTAAAAATATTACCCATATATTTTTGATGAGAAATATTTTTTCATTATATTTAATTTTTACTTTTCGCTTTTGCTTTCGCTTTCGGTTTTGGTGAATCGTCATCATCTTTTTTATTTTTCTTTACTTCTTTTTCTAATTTATCTATCCTATTTAGTGCATCTTGTAAAGCACTCCATAAAATAGGCACACACATACTATAATCAAACTTTAAATATCCGTCTCGTCCTTTTTTAATAATATTACCCCATTCCGAAGGCATTTTATCAGTTAAAAAATCATTAGCAACCATACCCACGCAATTTCTGTCACCGTATTTTTCTTTATCAATAAATTTATATGTTTTAGGAACTATATATTTTACCATCTCAACGGCTTTATTTCTATTTATCTCTTTTATACCCTCCTTTAATATTTTATCATTGCTTGGAGCAATTCCTCCAGAATATGAGATGTCCCCGATAACATCTATACCGCCGTCATTAACAGTTAATACATTTTTAGTTCCTATTTCAATTACTGTATCTCCGTTCGTATCTGGATTTCTAAAAAATATTTGGTCAATTGGTCCTGCTAATTGAGTGTGTGTAATACTTGCTTTTTCAAAGAAATTAACACTACTACCTAATACTCTAAATTCTGGCGTTCCCGTTGCGCCGATATCCACATCAAAATCACCTTCACACGTCAATTTACCTATTATATCAACTGTTTCATTACATACCGTTGGTTTATTTAATGTTATTCCATTAGTATCGTTTAAATTTATAAATATGTCAGATGATGTCGGGTCTATATCTCGGTTAGATTGAATACAAAAATTTTGTTCTATTGTTGAAATAAAATTTAACGGAAAATTTGAATTTTGTTGTTCGTATATTCTTCCTCTACTATTTAGTAAAATATTATTGTTAAATCTATTATTTGTACCATTAAATAAACAATTACCTGAAAAATTAGCACTGCCTCCACCAGCGACATTTAATCGGGTGGCACCACCAGCGATAGCGCCGATGCCTAAATTATTACAATATACGGCACCTCCTGCCGTTGCTGTATTCAATAATAATAAAGATTGACTGTCATTAGAAGTATTATAAGCATTAATATTAAAACTATGCATTTTAATGTATCCTTGCGCGTTCTTAACTTGTAAAACTGGCGAGGCGTCTGTTGTGTTCTTGAACAGTTCAATACCATTAGTATTAGTTGATGTTATTGTATCTCCATTCATTGTAATATTATTATCAATTTCTAAACTATCTACTTTTGTAGCTCCTCCTACACTTAAAAAATATCCGCTTTCGTTTGCTTTACCTATTCCCACTTCTGCACTTGTTAAGCTTCCTAATCTCATCCTGTTAGAATTATTAACTGCTGAATTATCATTTAATATCATAATATTACCGTCTTCTGTATTGGCATTGGTACATTTTAAATTGTTATTAACATATATCCATTGTGCCGTGCCGTCTCTAATTCTTAATGTTGGGTTACTATTATTAGATACTCTCCATAATGAAATACCATTGGTAGAAACTGGAAGAAATACTGTATCATTATTAAATGATGTTGTTCCTTCTATAAATAATTGTTTAAAAAATGTTGTTCCGTTTGTTGTATTATTACATTCTAAATAAGTGTTTGTGTCAGTGTCGTCATTAGTTCCGTTAATTAATCTTATGGCACTTGCTGTTTCGTTTATAGATAAATCTAATGAAATATTTGATTTTGTAGCATTTGTATATCTTTCAATACTTGTATTACTATCTACTAATTCAATAGGATTAGTAACACCGCCACCTCCGCCACTTACTCCCGCTATTAATCCATCTACCTCGCCTTTATTGTAATAGTTGGTGGCTAACTGACTATTAGTTTGATAATTTGTTGTTAATGTTGCTGTTGTTGCGTATGGTGCTAATGCTGTATTATTAATCCAGTTATTAGCATCTATTTCCGTCTTATTGTAATATGACGTTCCTATTTGTGTAGAAGTCAAATAATCACTCGTTAAAGTAGAAGTTAAAGCATAACCTGCCAACGATGTATTATTAATCCAGTTATTAGCGTCAATTTCTGTTTTTGTGTAGTAGTCATTAGCAAGTTGTGTATTATTTTTATAGTTGTCAGTTAAATTAGTATTAGTAGCATTG